TTTGAATCTGTATAACAATTTTGGGAGTATGGCCATTTTTACAATGTTGATTCTTCCTATCCATGAGTAAGGAAGATTTTTCTATTTTCTGAAATCCTCTTTGATCACTTTTTTCAGAGTACTGTACTCTGGGGAAGTAGGTGTTTAGGCAGTGAGTTGAAATTTTAATTTTAAATCATTTTAATTTTTTACTGTATAGATCTTTCACTTTTGTTGGATCTATTCCTAAGTATTTCAGTTTTTTGGATGCTATTGTGGAAGGTGTGGTTTCCCTAATTTCTCTCTCAGGGTGTTTGTTGTTTGTGTATAAGATGCTATTAATTTTAGGGTGCTGATTTTGTATCCAGCTATGCTACTGAATTTATTAATTCTAGGAGTCTTTTGTGGAGTTTTTCAGGTCTTCCATGTAGAGTATCGTGTCATCTGCAAATAATGATAATTTTATTTTTTCCTTTCCTGTCCTTATTTCTTCTATTTTTCTCTCTTGTCTAATTGCTGTGATTAATGTTTCTATAACTATGTTGAATAGGAGTGGTGACAATGGACAGCCTTGTCTTGTTCCTGATTTTAAAGTGAAAGCTTTCAGTTTTTGTCCATTTAGTATGATGTTGGCTGTTGGTTTGTCATAGATGGTGTTTATTAGATTAAGATAAAGTTCATCTATTCCAATTTTCCTGTAGGATTTTTATCACAAATGCATGTTGGATTTTATCAAAAGCTTTTTCTATATCTGTTGAGATGGTCATGTAATTCTTGTCTTTAGCTCTGTTGACATGGTGTATTACATTGATTGATTTGCATATATTGAACCATCCCCGCATTTCTAGGAAGAATCCCACTTGGTCATGGTGTATAATCTTCTTGATGATTTGTTGCATTCTATTTGCTAGTATTTTATTGAGAATTTTTTCATCTATGTTCATTAGGGAGATTGGCCTGTAGTTGTCTTTTTTGGTTGGATTTTTCTCTGGTTTTGGTGTCAGGGTAATACTTGCCTCCAGCAATGAATTAGGGAGAATTGCTTCCCTTTCAATCTTATTAAAGAGTTTGAGAAGAATTGGTATTAAATCTTCTCTAAAGTTCTTATAGAATTCAACTGTGAATCCATCAAGACCTGTTTGAACTACATAGTGAGTTTCTGTCTCAAAATACAAACAAAATAAGCAAATAAAAATCCTATGAGATACCTACTGAAGGTTTTTGTTTTGTTTTGTTTTGTCTTTTTGAGACAAGGTCTCACTATGCAGTTCAGGCTGATCTTGAGCTCACTTTGTAACCCAGGCTGGTCTTGAACTCACAATGATCCTCTTGCCTCAGCTTCCCAAGTGTTCGGATTGCAGGCATGCACCAGCATGCCTGGCCTGAAGGGTTTAATATTGCTGGTTCTACTTGTTTTAAATTTCTACTTTCTTTCCTTTGTTTCTTTTCTTTTTTCTTTTTAGTACTGGGGTTTCACTGAGGGCCTTCACACTGAGCTACATCCCTGCCCTGTTCCTTTTTGAGACAGGCTCTCCCTAAGTCACTAAATTGCCCAAGCTGGGCTCCAACTAGCAGTCTTCCTGCTTCAGCCTCCTATGGTGCTGTGATTACCGGTATGTGCCACCACACCCAGCTGTTTAAAGTTTTGAGGGTAAACCCAAGCTATTGGCCATTTTTCACATCAGTCCAAATCAATAACTATATTATTATAACAGAAAGAAATCTCTCCTTTTGATACAGACAGGCAGAAACAACTCACTGCACACATTGTCTCAAGACAAATAACTTTCCTAGTGTAGGACAAGTAGGCAGCATCATTTGTCAGAGTTCATTTTAATTTTTCAGTGAGCCAAGTGGGGTCACACCCATTTGAAGTCACCGTTACTCAGGGGCCAAGGCAAAAGGATCTCTTGAGCTGCTGAGTTTGTACAGCCTTGTCAATACAGAAAGACTCTTGTCTTTAAATGTCAGTAAATGCACCTGACATGTGGGGCAGCCATCCTTGATAAGTCTTTATCCTAAAGAGAAATAAAAGCACCTCATACCTTCTTTCTGGAAGCAGGCAGTTATGTTAAACTCTCAGGAGACACAGATTGGGCTGTCTTATCCTTGACTTTTTCAGGTTAAAGACAAGACCCTTAAAAAAAATGAGTCCTGAGTTGTGAAGTTGGCAAGAGGTTTGTTTAGCTTTTAAAAAGATTGATCTACATCTCAAAGGAATAAAGAATTTACAAGTTACCTAAAGGCCTTTATATTTAAATGGTCACAACTAGAAACCATAC